CCCAGGAAGCAGCCTGTGACAGCTGACTAACTCCCAAGTACCTATTTACTGCTAGGTAACAGGGGCATTCAGGGTGAATGAAACTTTGCCCATTTGTTTCTGTCTGTGGGAATTCTTTGGTAGGGGAATCGAACCCGCACCACAGAATTACGAGTCCTGCTCGCTATCCACCAGGCTTAGAGGCCCCTAGTGGTAGGTAAACCTACTGGTGGTAGGTTTAGTATGTTTGCAGCCTTCTCCGTCTTTTCTGGCGAAGGCCGAGACGGCTGCTTTCCGAAAGGGTCCTTGGGGTTTTTGATGTTTGGTTGGTTCGGCCTGGGGTGCATCATGTGTTGTCCGGTTGTGGCGCTTCGCTGTTACCTGCGTGCCGTTGCTGGGGGATGCGTTTTGGGTTGATCTGATTTCCCCTCGTTCCCTGATCCAGGGCTCAGGTCTCCCAGGTCGACCGCTGGGTTAAGTCTTGTGAGCCTACGGTCTATCCTTGTGCCTGTGCCATTCGGACGTTTGCAGCTTTCGCTGGCATGTTTGGTAACATGTCTTGGGCTCATTTCGGCCGCGTGGATTTGGAGGTCGTGCAGATTCCTGGCTGCCTGTTCTTTTGTGATCATATCTGTTCCTGGGCATTCTTGTGTTGCTTTAAGTTGCAGGTTGCAGCCTGTTGTCTCGACTTCGCGTTGTGAAGTTTGTGGCGGCCGTCTCCCGGATCAGACCTTCCTTTTCCTTCTCTTTGGTTATGAAGCTCCAGGGAGCCGTAGGGGCTCTCCTCAGAAAACCAGCGTTGAATGTAATGAAACACCATTGTCTGGGTGAGCCCCGGAGGCTCCCTGACTACCCTCCTTCCCACCGGTCAACGGGTTTTTCGCGTTGGTTGAAGCTTAGCTTCCGAACTGAAGTGCTACTGCGGTGAGGTCCGGGACCTCCCTCCCCCTCTCAGGGAGGGGAAGAGAGGGCTGCGCGGACGAGCAACGCGGCAGTAAAGTGTGATGTTTGCTTGTTTCCTTGGGATTGTAGGGAGTTTTACTTCTCTGTTCGGTTTTTTGTTGTTAGTTTCTTGCCATGTGAGGTTGGTTTTGTTATGTCTACCTTTCTGGGTGCCTAACACCGGTCGATGGCAGATAAGGAAAAACCCCAACCACAGGGGGATTTTTCAAGGCCATTGCTCCATAAACCTCTCTGAAGATACCAGGTTCTGGCTCATGGTCCCTGGTAGGTCTGAACTCCATAGCTAATGTCCTGTTCTAATATAACATACATTAGCCCGATAAGCTCGAGGGAGCCTCCAGGGCTCACCCAGAAAATGGTGTTTCATTACATTCAACGGTGGTTATTTGCATATTTTTTTGACAAGAATTAGAAATTTTGACAAATCTAAAAGGCATTCTAATAATAGTAATATTTGTTAGGGGTGTAAATGATAGATATATATGGCACTGGTTTAGACTGAAGAAGAGGTGCACAAACGTTAGGAAAAGTTTGTTAGTGACCAGCCAGAGGGCTACATGAGGAGTGCTTGTGTCAACCTTTAAGTACTGAGATGAGATAGCGATGTGGTATAAGTGTGAAAAATAAAAAATTATAGCAGTGCAAATGGGAAATCTGAGAAGTATGCATGGTGTTAGGAAATATCTACACAATAAAAATGTCATTGAGATATAACGTATGTATTCCATAAATTGCAATATTCAGCAGAGCATTCCAAGATGGTTTGAGCACGTTTAATGAATGGATGATGGTAAACTGGTGAAGATTATGAATTCAAGGGAATTTAAGGGAAGAAGGAAGAAATGAAGTCTGGGAAAAACATAGCAAATGTGTGTGATCCTATCTCACAGTGTGTCCATTGCTGCATTTTCCAGTTAATGGGGATACATCTCCATTTATCGAAGGTCCATCTTGTTAATGAGATTGGAGAAACAGATACTGTCTCCACTCGATCATCCGGACTGTATGGGAAGGACCCCCACCTGGATTAGCATGTTTTTCGGATAATGGTACTTTTTCACCTACGAGTCCAAAACTAACCATTTCCAACTATTTTTATACTACAAATAACATAATTTGAATAGACATGCCACATATAATTATTAAATATTCAACTAGAAACCTCAACTTACCTTTTTGTTGTTCGTCTTCTTGATTGATGACTCATCTTGAAGTTAAAAATTCTTGACAATTTACGTAACTTATAGTAACACAACACTAAAATTAACACTTAAAATTACTGTACAGTTCATTAGGCAAAGTTAGTTCTCACTGTCTGCTGAGGATGCCTCACTGGTTGAAGGCACTTGGGTTGCGTGTGCCGCCTCACTTGTTGAAGGCTCTTGGGTTGCGCGTGCAGCCTCACTTGTTGAAGGCGCTTGGGTTGCGCGTGCCGCCTCACTTGTTGAAGGCGCTTGGTTTGATTTTCGTACCATATATGAATCAAGTGTTGCTTGCCTTCTGTGTTCACTGGCCAGTTGTATGATCAGCTCTTTTGTTCGCCTAAGGTACGGATACATGTTTCCAACCTCTGGATGAGCACAATTTGATGAAAAATTTATTAATCCGTCAACATACGTCATGAGTGTACTGTATTTCGTGGTCATTGGTGTTAGTTCTTCACTGCCTTCTTCATCCTCTTCGTCCACCTCACCAGTAACAGACTGTAGAATCTCGTCTTCACTCATCACACCATATCCTGGATCATTGGCATCTTGTTCAAGCCAATCAACCACATCCTGTCTTTCTAAGTTTTTGCCGGCATTTCTAAACATTCCATGGATTTCATCTGTAAATCCTTCAAAATCCATTTCTTCATCATTTCTGACCGTAGACGTGAGGAGTTTTTTCCAGGAATTTTTCAAAGTCGATTCCTTTACTTCACTCCATACCTTGGCCCAGTTATAGATGGCTTCCTTGATTGTATAGTTCTTCAAATTCTGAAGGTTTTTTTTAGCCCTGTTATCCACACCGAGTTCAATATCTTCCGGAAGAGGCAAAACCACCAAAACTTCGTTTAGCATTTTTTTGGTGTACAACCTCTTCGTAGCACAGATAACTCCCTGATCCATAGGCTGAATGAGAGAGGTTGTGTTAGGAGGAAGTGCCATACACATTATCTTGCCATCATGTGAGGTTAACGTGTCAATTCTGGGGTGGGCAGGCGCATTATCAAGCAACAGTAAAGCCCGAACTTCGCTTGGCCTTATTTTGAGTTTCTTAATTTGATAGGCACGAACTTCCCTGCAGAACACGTCATGAAACCAGGAAAGAAAGATCTCCTGTGTAAACCATGCATTTTTTGAGTCATAATATTTCACTGGCAGTCTGTCCATGCAATGTTGCAAGGCTCTTGGTTTCTTAGATTTGCCAACAATTGCACACGTGATTCTGTCTGTGCCGTCGGCATTCGCACACATCATGGCTGAGAGCCTGTCCTTGCAAACCTTACGTCCTGGCACACAACCCTCACTCCTCATTGCTAGAGTTTTTTCTGGTAAACTCCTCCAATACAACCCAGTTTCATCTGCATTATAAATTTGATACGAATAAATATTATTTGCCACAATATATTCTCGTAATTTACGTTTAAATGGTTCTACACTGCTTTCATCTGCACTCAGTTTTTCACCGACAATTTTCCTCTTCACAATATTGTGCCTACCCTTGAACCTTGCAACCCAACCTTCACTCGCTTCGAAATTCTTTATTCCAAGGCTTGCAGCAAACCTGCTTGCAGCATTTTGTATTTCTGGGCCGCGAATTGTCACGCCAGCTGTGCGGTGCTGACCAAACCACTTGTACACAGCCTCATCCAACTGCACATGCGTCGAAGTTTTCATAGTTTTTCTAACAAAACCTCTGCTAGTGCTTGCACCTTCACTTTCACACGTTGAAATGAATTGCATAAGTTTCTCTTTTTGTTTCCTTATATCAGAAACAGTACTAGTGCCTATATTATATTCCTTGGCAACACTTGAGGTCGACCGGCCATGTTCACAAAGTTGTATAACACGTAGCTTGTCCTTAAGTGTTAGGACAACCTTCTTCCTCTTTCCACCTCCAGAACGATTCATGCTGCTACCAGACATAGTCTTGGCCAAAAATGTTCAAAGTTACTATGAAAATAAAAAAGTTATTTAAAAAATATTTCACTAATGGCGCGGCACTGTGGTGTAACACGAGGGTAGAGAGCACATGGCTTGACCAGGCCTGGACGGGTCCACTCGGGGCAGGGAGGAGGCACGTTACGTAGGCCGCCAGGAGGAAAAAAAATATATATTTTTGAAGGAAACTTCAGCCTGTGCAAATTGTTTTTAGGAAACTTGTATGGAATTTTTTATTACATAATTACTAGTATTTCTTTTGCTTTTGGCTATGATGAATTGTTCTAAAATTGATAGTAATTACTGTACTGTAGTGTATAGGCCACTCCCCATCCCCCCCCTAATCCCCCCAGGTGGTCCCTCCCAACGCTCCCCTCTCTCCCGACACCACCCACCCACCCCACCCCCACCCCACCCCCACCTACACCATGTGCCTCGAGTCTCGGGCAGACGGGATTAATACCGTATGGCCCGCCTCATGTTTTCATATACGGACAAAGGCACGATTATCCGGGGGACTGACCGGATAGTGTAATTTCTGCAGAAAACATGCTTTAATCCGGTCCCTGTGGCTATTTTGGCCGGATATTATGATAACTTTATCCATTCACGATTTTGGCCGTATAAGGGCGTTTTTCGGATGTTCGAATCCCGGATAATCGCGGGGTTACAGTATTTCCATTTCTGAAAAACCCAAGAATTCAGAAAACAGGGCTTGGGATAATGGGGTTCCACTGTTTTCTGAAATGTGTATTATACTCTAATCCTGATTTGGTATAGGATGATATGATCCAAATTTTGAAGATCCCTATGCACTCTATTAATATCAAAATCTGAAGTTTACATAATTCTTACAAATAGGTATTGGTTTTTATCTCCAAATACTAATGCAAATTTCTTTCCTTTTCTCAGCCATTTGAAAGGATGGAAGCTACAGTACATAAAGACCTAATAACAGAATTGGGATTAGCATCAGATAATGGCATATTCATCACCCTACACCAGCATGGGATTGCCAGAGGTGTTCGAGTTACTGAAACTGGTCCAGATCAAATAGTTGTATCAGGTTCCTTGGTGGAACTTCTAGCATCCAGGGTAAGGTGCTTTTGTTTATTATGCTTAGTGCTGCTGAATACTTTTGACATGAGAAGTTTTAAGAAATGCTGATTATGAACATAGTTGCACAGTTAATGCTTGTCTTTGTATATAAATCTGTATTTTATTTTAGGTTTTCTTAATTTCATATGATTTTAAAAACAAATACCGTATATGCTGCTGCACAAGTCAATCCGGCCCATAGGTCGAACCCAAGAATATAGAGGTGTAATTCAGATTTAGGCCTATATTTGCCACGTAAGATGACCCTCCCCCCCCCCCTCAAAAAAAAATAAGGCTTCACCGCCTACCCTGCTCTACTGTATGGAAAGAAAAAACTATAGAATCTCATAAATATACGGTAACTTAACAAATATTTACCGCATAAGGCAGGAGGTGTCGGTGGTTATCATGGGAGGTACGTAGGTGGTGTCATTGGTTGTCAGGGAAGACAGGTGGTGTCAGTATAGTAGAACCTCGAGTGACGAATTTAATCTGTTCCGGCACCGAGCTCGTTATGTGAAACGCTTGTCTTTCAAAACGAATTTTCCCCATTTAAAATAATGGAAATCAAATTAATCCATTCTATCACTGAAAAAACATCAATATGATATTTGATGTTTTAAATAATGGAGTAGCCTACCTTACCTTGAAGTTACCTTGAGGTGTTTCCGGGGCTTAGTGTCCCCGTGGCCCAGTCGTCGCCCAAGCCTCCTGGTTGCTGGACTGGTCAACCAGGCTGTTGGACGCGGCTGCTCGCAGCCTGACATACGAATCACAGCCTGGTTGATCAGGTATACTTCGGAGGTGTTTATCCAGTTCTCTCTTGAACACTGTGAGGGGTCGGCCAGTTATGCCCCTTATGTGTATTTGAAGCGTGTTGAACAGTCTCGAGCCTCAGATGTTCATAGTTCTCTCTCAGAGTACCTGTTGCACCTCTGCTTTTCAATGGGGGTATTCTGCACATCCTGCCATGCCTCCTGTCTCATATGAGACCAGGAGACCTACCTTACATACACTGAACAAACCTTTATGACATTTTTCTTTCTTCAAATTTGTTAAATTTTTGTTTTGCATTTTTTTTATAGCAAAAGGTTCGTTCGGTGTTTGTGAGGTAGGCTGCTCCATGTTTCTTAAAAAAGTAAAAAAAATGGAAAAAAATTTAAAATTTTGAAAACAGAACATATGTCAAAAAGGTTTGTTCAATGTTCAGCAGGTAGGCTGCTCCATGTTTATTACAAAAAAAAAAAAAAATAGTTGATACAATTTGAAAAACGGACAAACGCCATATAGGTTTGATCAGTGTTTGTCGGGTAAGCTGCTCCATTATGACACTCTTTCTTCGTTTCATGTGTTCCATTTGTTTTGTATTTTTCATTTATTTCTCAATAATGGAGCAGCCTACCGGACAAACACTGAACGAACCTATGTTTCATTTGTCCGTTTTTTTTTTTTTTTTTTTTTTTTTTAACACTATTGCGCTCCTGGCAGGCGACCATGTAACTTTCCCCTTGTGCGCCTGCCGTGTCGGGCAATCGAGCGCCAACACTGAAAAGTGTATACTCTTTTTCAGTGTTGTGACCTTATATATTGATGTACATGTTTCATTTTGGTATCAATGTGTTCGTAATAGAATGTTCTAGAGGAACATCTGTATAAAATGTCACTAAAGCATGCGTGAGACCAGTGCCAAATAAAAAACTAGGTCGCTCGTTAGCCATGCGCGCCAAACAGCGATGTTTTTACTCTTTTCAGGTTTGTCACCTCCAAACTTGTCCTACATCATCCATTTTGGTATCACTGTGATCGCAATAAAATTTCCTACACGGACATATGAATATCAAGTCCAAATCGTGGTCCCGACCCACCCGCTATAACGTGGGAAGTCAGGGAAGTGTTACCCGTTACCGCTCGACCAACAGCACAGCGGCTACACCACTACTGAAAAGTGTATACTTTTTTCAGTGTTGTGACCTTATTTTTTGATGTACGTGTTTCATTTTGGTATCAATGTGTTCACAATAAAATGTTTTAGAGGAACATATGTATAAAATGTCACTAAAGCATGCATGAGACCAGTACCAAATAAAAAACGAGGTCACTCGTTAGCCGTGCGCGCCAAACAGTGCGGATATGGTGCTGCTCTTTTCATGATTGTCAAGTCAAAACATGATCTACCACGTTCATTTTGGTATCACTGTGCTCACAATAAAATTCTCTACACGAACATATGCATATCAACTTCAAAACATGTGCGCACCCCACCTGCAATCACGTCGAAAGTCCCCAGAGCATTACCCGCTAGAGTCCACCCATTCCCACACCCTTTACACCCAGTACACCCGATAAACGCATAAAGGAGATTATCGTTTTATAACGCTATTTTTTGTTCTACGTTGTTCATGTTGGTATAAATTTTTTCGCAATAAAACGCTCTACAAGGAAATCAGAATATTAGCCCCTATTGAAGAATACGTATGTGAATACCAACACCATAAAAATATACACTGTAATATCTTATTTATACAAACTCAAAAAAATGTTTCTGTACTTACCAATGGGTTGATTACGGTAGAACAACAACTTGAGCATTCTGTGATTCATTCCACTTGCTTCAGGAAAATGTGCCTGAAGTTGCTCAAGAGATGTTTCTTAGGTAGGAGCCGGTCGGCCGAGCGGACAGCACGCTGGGCTTGTGATCCTGTGGTCCCGGGTTCGATCCCGGGCGCTGGCGAGAAACAATGGGCAGAGTTTCTTTCACCCTATGCCCCTGTTACCTAGCAGTAAAATAGGTACCTGGGTGTTAGTCAGCTGTCACGGGCTGCTTCCTGGGGGTGGAGGCCTGGTCGAGGACCGGGCCGCGGGGACACTAAAAAGCCCCGAAATCATCTCAAGATAACCTCAAGATAGGTGGAGTGAATGTGTTGTGAGTGATTACTTCTTCTGCACCCAAAATACCCTCTTCCAATGATATTTTGTGTAGCAGGGTGAAGCACACAGTGCAACTCCACACATTTTGCACTTGTGCTTGGTGTCTTTTCTGATTCCTGACTTGTAACACACACGACACTTTAGACGTTGTTGCATGGTAAGTATTGCATGTGTGAGGCTCCTGTTGAGACGCTCCGGTGAATCTACAATTCTTGGGTGTTTGTTGGGCGGAGTACGACTTGTGGCTAAGTTTCCTGTAACGCCGGTTGCGTCTTAAGTTGCCTGTCACACCAGTCTCGAGTTCAGAGTCAGATGAGGAGCCTTCGCCGTGTGGTGTTGAAGGGAATAAAGGCCGCCTCACATCAGATGGTCCCGGGGTTGACAGACTGGCAGCATCAGAAGTACTGGCATCATCATTTATGTCCAGAGCATGTGTCTGTTGTGAGAGGCCACTCCTCAGCGTCCCACCTCAAAAGTAACCACATTGCCACCTCTTGAAACTGCAGCAACTTAAGTTTCTTGCAATCACTGGTGTAGTACTTATACAAACAAAGGAATTGTGTAGAGCCATTTGAAGAAAATAGAACGTCATCTTCTTTGTCCACTTGTGACATTTTCGGGTAAACTGGTAATATTTGACCATTTGATCAAAGTGATCAACACCTTTCATGTAGCGATTATAGTCACAAATGACAGTTGGTTTGTTGACTGTTACCTGTTCTACTGAAGATGATCCATCACGTTTACGAATTCTTTTCCTTCGTTGAACTTGCTTGGTGTCTGCATTGTGCAAGTTTGTAATGAGGGATACCACTTGTATGTCTTTCCACAGTATTATAAAAGTGTTATCTTTGTGGCAGAATATCGTGGTATCCAATGCCATTTTTCCCTTTGCCTTCACTTGCAGTTCCTTGGGTGTTCCACGTGGCAATCTAATGGTGCCACATGTGTAAACCTGACATTCACGTAACTTTTCTGTGAGGTTGACTGAATTATAATAGTTATCCATGTAGTGATGATAACCTTTGTCCATTAGGGGCTCAGTCCAGACTGTCTCTATTACTGTTTTCCCTATTCCACAATAGACTTCAAAGGCATATATGTAGCCAGATATGGATTCTGCAAGCATGTACAGTTTGACTCCATATTTTTCAGGCTTGTTGGGATTATATACCTTGAAAGATAACTGGCCACGCTATGCCATCGTGCCTTGATCCAGACTCAATTGTTTCTGTAGAACGTAGATTGTAGCAAATTTCGTTTTCAGATATTCCATCGCTGCTCGAATTTTTAGCAACTTGTCTTTATTGTTTATGGGAATGGAATTGTTATTATATGAGTGAAAAAACTTTGCAATATGCTGAAACCGTTTTGACGACATGAAAGTATTGAAGAAACGGGCGTGCCAAAGCCTGCTTGTCTGCCAGTACATTCTCATGGTTGGTAGCCTGGAAACCCCCATCAACATGCACAGACCTATATATGGCCCATTTCCTTGACGGTGACTGGCACCCACATCCTCCTTATGCTGTCGGTAGCATGCTGCATTATTTGTGTGGCACACAGGTTAGTTTCATAGGTGAAATATTCAATGAGCGTTTGAGTCAGAAATAGTTGAATGAATTGCAGTGCAGTTTTTTTTTTTTTATTATTATTTTCTACCACAGACGTGGCCACACATTTACAATGCTAACCAGCATATATACATTTTCTTCTGTCCTTCATGGACAGGGTTAGAGATGTGTTAAACATATAGTTCAAGGGTTTGTTGAACAATCAACCACAGAAGGTGATTCGGTGCTTTTAAAATGCTAAGCTAACCTACATGCGTAAATACATAGATACACAGATTTACGTATGCCCTACATAAAGTGTTCGATGTGTCTTTTACACATCACTTTTCTTGTGATCTTTTTTTCATCACTTTTCATCAGTGATTATTTTACATCACTGCACTGCATTGCAGTGCAGTGATGGGTGGCAGAATGGTTAGGCCTGGTGTTGCAGTGAAATCATTGACAATTGGTGGAGTGTTGTTGATGGACCAGGCACTAGCCGGATCTGGCTGT